ATTGAACATCACAGTCAGTGGGGCCGCGATATATTGTGCAATATTTCTCAATATTTTAGTGTGTAGTTCATCTGGTCCTGTTGACTTTTCCATGTCTAAGGTGGTGAAGGCCTTAATTACATCGTTTTGATCGAAGTCCACGGTTTGTTGACTCGATATTTTGATCTGATTATTTGTCCAAAAGAGGTTCTTGAGTGATTACTGCCCCAAAGTAGTCAGCTATAGCCTCTGCTTTGTTCTGATCTTCTTCTATCATTTCAGATTCACTCCCTTCTTTAATTAGATTTGGAATCCAATGATGCATCCTTGTTCTGTAGTTTATGTACGAGAATATTCTCTTGGGCTTCTTGAGTGCTGATTGTGCCAACTGCATTTAATATTTTCTGTGAGCTTCTCGAATTTTTGTTATACACTTGTTTCTTACCGATCTGTAGTGTTCCATGGTACCTGCTGTGCCAAGGCGCATGGCGACATCCCAACATTTCTTCTTTTGTCTTAGTAAACATCGAATATCCCTGCTTATCCAGGGATGCCCGTGTTTCTTCTTCTTTGGGACTGTCCAGGGTATGTATGGTTGAGTTACCCGGTTGTATAACTGCCCAAAATGCGTCCATGCCTCTTGTACTGATGGCGTTGAGTCTAATATGTTCTAATATGTTAGAACAAAGCTAATGCAATCGAGGTTTTTAACAGTTTACAATCGAATGACGTTATCGATGACCCGACTTCTAAGTTAACCCAGCTTATATACGGTGCGTTAAAGTCGCCTACTACAAGGCTTTTACCCTTGTTACATCAGGACATAAGTTTACTAAGGAGAAAATCATCAACCACGCATTCTGAACTGCGGTATACTACAACTAATTCAATGTCTTGCCGTCTACATTTCAGCCTTCATCGCACCAATTCACATGTTCCTGAAACATGTGCTACTGTCTCAGCTACTCTCATGGTTAGGGTACTTTTCGTGTACAGGATAGTCCCGCCTCCACTACGACTTAATCTATCAGCCCACTGGATAAAAAACCAGCCAAGTGAATTTCATTAGCTAATATTTCCGGAGTTAACCAAGTTTCTGACACAGCAATAACATCCGGTTTCTCTTTATCCACCATTGACTTAGGCTCCGCCATTTCATTTAGAAGGCTGCGAGCATTTGTGTAGCATACCTTTAAGTCTGTGGAAAACGTTCCCTTACCACCCAGAATGGTTTGGGGATCGTTTTGCTCCAAACTTTTACAATTTGAAAACCCTTAAGAATGAGGTTTCTTTCGCCGTTTCGGCGACGCTCATTTATTTCCACTTCTGCAGCTCGTCTCTTAATACGATCAGCTAAGCTGAGATCCTCACGGACATATATTCCGGATCCAATCAGTTTGCGTGAGTTACCTAAAATCAGGTTCCTTTCTTCAACTGTGGCAAATGTAACCTTCAAGAGGCGGTTTTTCTGATGGCTTTCAGAATCCACCTTTCGTCCTATTCTACAAAGCTTACAAATGCAAACTCCTGAAACGGTATCTGGGAGTAGTTTGATTATTAAGGACTTAATGTGATTGAATTCATGTTCAAATCTAGCCTTTGGTTCCTTATCGGAAGATTCTTTTAACTTATGAAAAATGACTGACCTCTCAGAGAGATCTGTCTTGACACTCAGTGAAATTTTTGTTTCTAGTACCATCTCTTCCAATGACTTGCTAACCAGCTGCAGTTTGCCTACAGCTTTTTTTTGCATTTCTTTTTCTCCGTGCTGAAGTCCATTTATCCTCACTCAGGACAGCCACACTGGGACTATTTGGAACGATGGCAGTGTTATCCGGGTCTTCAATTTCCACTAAAGGTGTATGATTTTTAATGTCAATGTTTAGCGGCACTTCACTCCTCGTTAATGTTAACGGTGTTTTTACTTTTCCATCAATCACAATCCGGTGTTTAACGGGTCCGGTAGCAGCACTTACTACACTGACACATTCTTCACTGTCAGTGCTCGTCGTGTCAGGACAACCGCCATCGTTTTTCTTACAGGCCAAATCCAATAGGCTCATAGCCTCCTGGATTAATAACTTTTTATTTGTACAGCAAAACATACAAAGCCAATGCGAGTTTGGATTCAAGCATCTTTTGTATGCCGTAGGACTTAGACGGGTACACATCTTATGGTACCACTTTTTACATTCACCGCACTGCATTCCTTCCTCAACGGGGAACAAGCAGTTTGGTTGTCCACATTTAAGTCTTACTAACCATTGTAATTTGATTTAAAACGTTTAAAACACACTGTGATCACAACGTTAGCACGAGTGTCAGTCAATGAGTAAGCAAGAAAGGTACCATAGGACAAAGTTTAGAAAAAATCTCAAACTATAACCAAAGTACTTTTAGTTAAAGTTGACCAAGAATGCTTTCTGTTGCAACTAGTACACAAAGCAATGATGATCACAACCAGTACAAAAATTACTCTAGGTTTCTAGCTTACGACATCAGTGGTCCACCACTTATACATACGAAAACCCGTTAACCTTCCATTGCATCCTGAACAACTTGGGAACATTTGTCATTGGACAATTAACCGTTAACATTGGCGGCGTTTACACACGATGTCTCTCTGGAGGTTAGCAGGGATAAAGTATGTTGTATCTGATATTCTGTAGTCACTTCCTCCAGTTACATAAGATACTCCTCAATTTGTGCGAAAGCTGTTAGAGATTGCTTGAAAAGTGAATACAAGCTCGATGCATCTAAACGAGTCGGGAAGCATGTAAAAGTAACAAACTGGAAAGATGGAAAACCAATAAGTATTCGTTCATATTTTGAAATTTCGATTTTTAGAAAATGTGGCGTAAAAGACGGTGTGTATGGTTATGATTCCAACCTTTATGTGGGTAGTTGAAGTAATAAACCAACCCTAGTAATTAATTTGATAGTAAAATGTATATGTTCTCTTCAAACTTGTCTTTGTTGTTGTGCCCCTATGTTAATTGACTATATTTGACATCTTACAGTGTTTAACAACTAAACTTGGTAGCCTGGAAAAATTATTTACGTGCCGCTATATATCTACCTCCTCCCCAAGAGCAGTTTTATTTGTTTAAGGACCATTCAGTTTCCGTACAGTTGGTGGTACTGTTCAAAACCGACCCCAGTGAATCAAGTACTCTTACTCACTTACTAACCCTAAGTTCTGGGTGAAAACTTACTCTGTTCGTTATATAATAGTTTAATTCTCCCCGAGTCGTGTGTAATCTCTCTTTAGTTATGATGTTGCTACAACTCCTCTGCTTATTATGGGGATTTACTTTTCTCTACTTATGTGGCAGTTTAAGGTAGTGTGCATTTACCAAATACTGCCCGGTCTCTGGCTGACTTATCATAATTCTAAAAACCTAGGTTTCGGTAGGTTGAACAAGGAAATCATTTTATATATTAAGGTTATCGCAACGTTAGTGAGAATATATCAAGCCTTAAAGGACCATAATTGTTTAGGTAGAATATGCCCATAGTACTTCGTTGCTAAAAACCTTGGTACTATCATATTTTAATTGTACAATCAGACCTAGCTGCAAATGAATTAATGACATCGACTCAGTTGATATGCCTGCTGGCGGATCTGCTACTCTTCAGTCGATTGCGTGACGTACAGTTACTTAACTTATATGATCACTATGTGGGGGTTTCTGTCAAAAAAAGCCACTAGGACTAGTTAAATGTAAGAACGTATGGCTTTAATGCAACAACTAATGACCCAGTGAGTCTTAACAGTGAGTTCAAGTTACCACCCAGGGACCTGATTTAGGGTTTGATGCTCTCTAAGCTTTAAGTTCGGTACAGATTTTAATCCCGAGTAAGCCTGAGCCCTTCGTCAAGACATATTGTTTGCTGTTATATAATTTAGAAGAATAAATCATGTGACTTGACTCTTGTTCTGCCGTTAAATAGAAAAGCCAGATAAAAATGATGCTAGCCGTCCGGACAAAGGTATAAATTATGACGAGGTCGCTTTAAGTAGGTTCTCTATGTACAAGATGTACCTGTTTCCCTAACTCAACCGACCAGCCCATATCAATCATCGTGATTTCAGCATGTTTCGTGCCTATTTTCACGATGTAGCCGAGGGATGTTGACTTGTCATTGCTGCTTCAGCAGAATATGAGTTATAGCGTAAAGAGTCATCGTTGCGCCCTAGTCAGTGCCTAACTAGTTTGTTTCGAAAAGTCCTTCGGTTCATTACCCACAAATCTAGCCCAGACTTAGTTGTTTTTTCACGTCGATTGAGAGGTAGACACATTTTATTACTGCCAACAGTATTATCCGTACTGAATGCATAACTTTTCGAAGCTAAAAGTCATAATTATGATTTTAGGGGTAAGTTTGCGACAGTATCACATCCCCGCCCAGCTTTTGTTTGAAATCAACGAATATGACGTCCGTACATGTCACCCTAACCTTTTGGTAAAAGTCTTTTGCATCTTTCACACTGCAGCTTAAAAGCGATTACGCTGATTCAACTAACAACATATACCTCGCCTGTGTGATTAAATGGCTGTACAAATATTGTTCTTCGAATGCCCGGAAAGATAAATTCCATTTGTGAACATCCCAACAGCTGAAGTGAAACAATTACGATCCTTCACAGAACGATGTTGCAAATAGGTATTTGCGTAACTATATTATAGTAATTCTACTTTGGAGTGCTTTGTCATCTGTACGGAAATTTCGCTAGGCAAGTATGTGGAATCCTAAAGACCGTGGTTATTACCCCGCTGTAGGTGCCATTTATTTAGAAGTATTCAGCAGTACGAATCGTAGTTCAAACCTAGAATGGGCTTCCGGGTATTCAACCTACCAGTCAAATATAGTAATACCCAGAAGAACAAGCATTCGCATCTCCAAAATAAGGGGTTTCGATCATTTCTTCCCGGTGGATGCTGTCGAAACTGAAGACACTGCATTTTACTTTAGTACTAAAACCACGTCGGCTTTGCATACAAGATAGTTTTTTATTTGGAAATAAACGGATATGCATAAATGGATTATTTTCTATTTGGATTTTAATAGTTTTAATAAATTCATTCGCAAATGGTCCGGGGCAACATCTACGGGTGTTCTGCCATCCTAAAAAACAACAGATAATAGACTGATTTAACAATAGGAATCAAATACGCATGTAACAAAACAAATATTCTAGGATTTAAGAACTACTGACTATGTAGTAAGTCAGTCTATCCGGTGATACTACGGCAGGTTACTTTGATCCATGTATATCTTACTTGGATTCTGACTTATTTAAACCCGTCTAACTTTTCTTTACTAAGTGATCTTGATGTTTTGCCTAAGTGGAACAGCCTGAAAAAGACCTTTAGTGTCTCTTTCCCTTTCTCTATTTATCAATTATTCGTGTACTTACTAGGGTTTTCGTAACAACTTTCATCTTAGAAATGAAAAGTGCTTAATTATGCTTTGGTAGTGAAAATTAATGTGTCGATGTGAAGGAGTAAAAGCCTCTAATTAGACGTATTAATATGTAAAGATTATGCTGATACCAATAACTTATCATACCTGTTTTAACTTGGTGTAAGATAATTTCAAGAATTCAGTTGTTGCTTGCTATATGAATAAATAATATTTATATTGCAGTCTTCAGGTATGTTTGGCACAGATGATCGAAGCGTTGGGTTGATTTACAGTAAAAATTGTGACTAGGATACAGAGATTTATTATTTCGAGTAGGGTTGACATTTTCCGAGTTCATAAAACAGATTAGGATATTAAATAACGTTTCAAGGAAGAAATATTTTGTGGTAGTTTTGATAAGTTGTTTTAATTTACAAACCGATGTATCTAAAGTGACATGACGGTGAGCTTAATCGAGATAAGTGTTCATAAATAAGTGTTTATGCATGAATTGGAGCTTTTGCTACTAGCCACCGGAAAAATACAGGCGTAATACATAACTAAAATCGATGACCAAGAATAGTGATATCTCAGGTAGCCTAATTGGACTTTCAAGGATTATAGTAATTTGACGCCGTTTTAAGATTGAATATCAATTTAGAAATGTTTGGTTGTTATCCAATATTTAGTGACTTATTATTGAAATAAGACGAAAAGCAGTACGTTACAACTTTTGATGCATACATATTTCAAAACATTGACCAACATAATAGTAATCGCCTTCACTCTCCTCAATAAAATGATGTGTGAAAACATTTTTTAGATAAGTGCATGAACATCACCTGATTGCCGGGATGATATGATAATAACGACAATTAGGTCACAGACTCATAGTAACTACATAATTGACGAATTATTTTCGAGTAATACATCATATCCCATAAATTATCAACCTTAACACAGTTTACAGGATTTTTTAGATTAGTCTGATGCGTACCACACATTTGGTAGAGACAGACGGCTCTTTAGTTAAAGTCTATTATTATTACCTTGCCTTTAGTCGGTATAGCGATGACAGGTTGTGTAGAAGAAATCTTGTTCGACAATCGTGTCTCATATATTCTCGCTTAAAACTGGGTAAAGCCTGTCATATGATAGAAGTATAAATTACCAAAAAGCGGAAATGGGTTTGGTAGTAGATTCACGAAGTAATCATTTTCATACTACTATTGCACTGATTTGACAGTTAACATCTTTATGTGATTTTTATAGTACGGTGTTTCATATATTTGGTCGTAAATATTAGCTGACTAGTACGTTTAGGGTCAAACATCCATATCTCATCTCAGAACCATTTTTGGTGTGTTTACTTATCTACACATTGATATAAGATTATTCTAGCAGATGGTCAATATATGAGAAAAAGCCTATAAGTTCAGTAGACTTACTGTATCTTTATGATTTATAGAGGCACCATAATTCATTAGTAAAGTTGCAGCTTGGAAATTGCCTTCTTCGCATGCATAATGTCTATATAAACGAGTAAAAGAGACATATGGCATTGGTGCATAACAAATAATATGATCTTTCCGTAGTAAAATGAGGTGTATGAGCAAAATTAAGTCAAATGCTTTACGATAACTACTTTAACAAATAGACAGCGGTGGCTCTAAGCTTTCAACCGATTACAAAGCTAAGTTTATGTAGTCAGTGATATTACAGTTTAACTAATAACTAAAAACCATAAAATACTACAAGAAACAGGATTGACTAGTTGGTTTACTTAATGAATTTAAATGAAGTCAAAATGACAATTGAGACAACAATATGAGTTCGTATTCCGTGATTTCTCTTCAGCTCTTTACGATTGTATTCGTATTAGTGTAACAATGAAATGTAATATGAAGCAACAAAGATTAGTGATGGAATGATAACGACTAGTAATTACATATATATTATAATACATGTGTGAGGTTGTTCGAAGATGGGATTCAAAAACAGGGGTGAGGCATTCCGAAAACTGGTAATCTCACCTGTGCAATTATTATGGGTTTGAAGGATTTAGAGGAGTGTATGAACATTTGGAGATATATGTAGAAAGTGTGGAGCGAGGATTTGGTAACTATCTAGAATTTGAAACCACGTAATGACTACAGAAATTCTTCAGAGTTTTGACAATTGGGTTAGTGAAAAACAGACAAAACATCATTTTAGCTTGCATTTAGTAACTATTAACCTAGCGAAGATTGCTGCACAAAATAAAAGAAATTAGGGTGATTTCAATCAAAAATGTGGATTTACCGAGGCAATGTATTGTAAACGCCAACAATGTACCGCCTGTCAAATGCCGAGTTGTTGTACTGTTTAGACTTGTACATTTCAGTTCGAAATTCTTCGGAACGTGATCGGAGATGCGAATACATACTCTTGTTTCCTCTGTAACTCGGTCTTAAGCCCCATCTTATGACATCTAGTAACACCATTCAGTTACCCAGAATAACATGGTAGATTAAGCGAAGTTCAGAACGCAGTTTGTCAGTTGAAAACTGAGTGCCTTAACTAAGCTGTTTTTCTACCAAGGCTTTAAAATCTTGTAATATGTATTATACTGCTCAGCTTTGGAAGGAGAGTTGTAAACCATGGGATGGAAAATGTGAATGATCATATCCCAATTCCTTTGTAGATAACTTGACAATTTGTTGATATGTTACACCATATAATAAAACGTTTATATGACTCGTAAGTGAGAGGCTTTTCACTGAAACTACAGCAAATATATTATAACTAGTCATAGATCCATGAAGTCGACCTTCAAATATATTCGTGTTATTACTGAACTATTCATATCAAAGTATATGATAAGCAGATTAGTTTTTGACATGTTAATAAATAATTAAAATCATATGGGTTACACATTTCCTAAGAAACGGACTTTAACCACATGTAAGACTTTTTTTCTAATACTTGTCAACCACGGTAAGATTTGTCAAACTTTCGGTAGTATTAACAGCATAATTACACAAATGAAGCCGTGACAGCGAAGCGATGGAAGTTTAATGGTTGGTTCTAATCAATACGTGACAATCTTGAATATTACTCCAAGTAGACTGATTTGGAGAGTTGAGTCAACAAAAGGATCAAAAGCTCTCAAACACAATTTAGCTAAGAGTTTGGGATATAGTTCTAAAATCAGTTAGTGAGTTAGACTATTTTGATATGGTAATGCGAAGAAATGTTATTTGTGGTTTACAATATATAATATACTAAATGATGAATGAAATTAATGAAAAATTATTAATTGGCACTGGTTTATTACTTAATCATAATAATATCAGTACATGGTTAAGGAGATTGTCGATTTTTAATTGAGATCATGAACCGATCAATGTTAGACCATCATTAAAAACCTGGAAGCACTGGACAGCCGTTTCGTCTGGATATGGGACTCGTCAGCAGTGCGCATCCACGACTCCGCACACGGGGTTTGAACCAAAGACCTTCGATCTTCCGCTCAATGCTGGGGAGTCCCATACTTCGGACGAAACGGCCATCCAGTGGTCGGTTCATGTTCTCAATTAATAATAAAAATAATACTCTGATAAATCGTAAGTAAAACTGTACAACGTCTATATAGCGTTACTAATTGTTTTAGATTTTACAATCATTTGAGAACAAATTGATGTATCACCCAAAATCATATGGAATTATGGAGATGAAATGAGAAGAGATGTGCAACAAACGTACAAAGACATTTAGACGTAACTACTTTCCTATTTATCCCAATTTAGAAAGTGATGATATCCCTTCATATACTTGAATGGTGAATCACGCTTGATGATGACTTGGATTTGACAATTTTATGTAAGGAGGCGAGACACCAATAACTGATAAGCTTATCGTCTATGGTATCATGAGATGACTGATTTTCTAGAATATTTATGGTGCCAGTAGACAGTAATGACTTTTATGAACTAGTATGTGTAATAGCGTTGTCCCAAACAACCAATCCAGTGTTGGAACTTTGTTATAAATCCATGTAAATGTAAAGCATGCGTTCAAATGTCGATAATCGGATTATTTGACTAATAAATTGTCAATGAAGACAAATAGATGACCATACAAAAGCTAAAAAGTAGGAAACATTTATTTTCTATGCTCAAGTTCAGTCAAAACCTGTTTATTCGTATAGCAGAATAACATAATGCTAAACACAACTTAGCAGATGATAGTTATGTAAAAAGAACAGAAAGTGTCGGAGAAAGATTCTTATTTGTTCGTTTATAAGCGAAAACTTACAGAGGTGTTTGGCCTTGTTTGTCAGTTAAATCAACAAGCGTTGAAAACATTTTATTGCAGCTTTCTTCATTACCAACATCTTTTTCAGTAACTGTATGGTCTAAAAGAAGTTTGGCTATATCTAGGTTTTCTGTGGCGATTGCACGATGAAGCGGTGTAACTCCTCCCCAATCTTTTACGTCTGGTTTCGCACCAGCATTTAATAGCTCTTTGGCCATCTGGAAAAAGAATGTTAGGAATGTAATTTTGAAATTGTCCGTTTAGTATAATTAGGAATAACATCAGCTTGGGACACCAAGAATTATTAAAGGAAATAAAATTAATGTTTTTATTACTATGATAAGAATTACCAGTAGAAATTCAAAAGCAGCGATGTAATTTTCAATTGTGGTCGGACTCCAAAACGTCTAGGCTACAGTAAACATATACGATTTCTTATAGGGGCCCCCAAATGCCCTGGTATGGCCGAGAGTAGGGGGAGTCCGCTCCTCCTCTCGAAATGCTCTCACATGGCCACGCGTATACAGCCCCTGCCAGGGAAGTCCTACTCACTGCCTTCTCGTGGCGGGGGTGTTGTTTACGAAAATGAGAGGACGAAAAGCGAATGTACGGCGCTATAACCGATCCCAAACCAATGGTGCACATGGGCTCCAGTATCCTGCGGGAACAAATGGCGTATGAACCAATCGTTGGTCACCGGCTACCATGGGACTGCATCTCCTCACGATGCTCCACTGCCTTGTGGATCAGACGTTCAGGTCAAATGCTCGGGGTGTGGCCCCCTAAGAAAACCACCTGCTTTGGTTTGGGCACCCGGGCAGTATCACAGCCCTCACACATATCAAATGAGATCTGTGTGGCGCATATGTATTTGGTGCCTTCTTGTACCGATATCTATGTGTTAAAATAAAATAAAATCTTATAGGGAGACTAAGTCTTCACTTTTATCCAACATGCTTTTTTCATGATACCATAAAATATTGATATCTCTTCTATATTCGTTTTAATACTGGACAAGGACAGCAATAATTAAAGAAGTCACTGATCGTTAGGTTAAAGGATTTAAGAAGATGCGATCTATTTATGACTACAATCAAAATGAAGTGAAAACGATCGGTAGAAGTTCAACCGGCCAAACTTTAATTAGGCACTAACAGTTACCATCGAATCAGACCTCAGATATCGTTGTATGACATACAGCTCTATAAGGTGGGTGAAATTTCTTTTTAAATAAACCCTTGATGGAATCGAACAGGCTTTCAGATTGATGAAGGTTTAATTAATAATTCGTTGGAACGATGTCTTAGAGTGATCGAACTAAGCTATATTAGTAAGGAATGACATTTCTATTTAGATTCGCATAATTATAGTAAGTATAGCTAGGTATATGGAAATGATCTTTCAGACAGGACCTCGAATGAATAAAATTATATAAACAAGGTATATGATTATGTAGTGAATATATTTAAAATATACGGAAAAATACTCACCTGAGGACGATTTTTAGAAGCACAATAGTGAAGACAGCACTGACCTGTCGAATTTATTACATTTACATCAGCATGTTCTTGCTCTATAAGATATGAAGCTACATTACCACGTCCAGCGGAAATAGCAATCATAAGTGGAGTCCAGTTAGACTAAATAAAATAATGGATGAAAAATACGATAATCTACAATGTTTTTTATGATGATACAGATATTTTAATTGATATTACAGTTCATGAATGCTGATAACATACCAAACATATTTTTGAAAGACTCAAGTATCGTCAACAATTTTATCAAACTTGAGGATATCTAAACAGAAGAACAATCCTGAAAAGGTTGAAGCTAAGTAGAGTCACTCTCATCAGCATACCCATAACGAAGAGTGGTGGCAGTAGATATGCTCGCTAACACTACCTATTGTCACTTTGCATGAACATTCCCCATAAACGCTTATATCAAAAATTGCTTACAGCTTTAGATGGGGAACCTGGTCTATTATAAAATATTCCCGTACGATTGAGCATTAACAGTCTCTGGGGGTTATCCTATACACTGATTTTACGAGGTCCCAGTTCAACAAGTGTGAAAAGTGGGCAACTGGTTCATAAATCAGATCAGTAAACATGGGATTTGCTTGAAGAGGAACATTTATTGCAGTTTAGATGCTCAGACAGTATCTCAACTTACATAGAAAAGACATGGATGAAGTCCCTGCTTTGGTTTATGAAGACATGCGAACCAAATATTTTGTCACTCAGAAATTTATATTAAATTATTTAATGCTGATGAGTTGCTTTATTTGCCCATAAAATTTGCTTTTTCTAACGTTTGACTATTAATATGGATAGAGCCAAAATAATACCAGGTCCTCTTCACTACAAGAGTTGTTTATACCATGGTGGGATGAAAGTTTCGTTAAAGGTAAGAAGTGAGTAGCGAATTAATATATTTTAGTAGGGATAGAGTAAATATACTTTGTCGAAATAACGTACTGCCAAAACCAGTTTTTTTAATACACTTAAAAAGAACTCTGTTATTTTTTATAAATGAAAAACCAGAAGTATTCAAGTGAACTTAAACATACTTATTACCTGATCTTTGCAATCTTTATCGAAACCTCTAGTTAAAAGAACTTTTACCAACTCTAAATGACCCCCACAAGCCGCCCAATGAAGAGGATTTCGCCCGGCCTGCAAGTATTGATTCCAGAGTTAAAAAAAAGTCCACAATGAAACCTGGTCAATCAACGATTTTTCCCCATCTGATTCCAATATTTTTAGAACTGCGGTAACAACCCCATCGTACGCAAAGCGGCATACTGCTAAGTCAGACATCAAAATTTAGTCAACTGCGCAGCTTTCAGCTATAAACCTGTAATAAAATAGATCAGATAGTGTGTTAGCTAATGAAATTATAAAACTTATTTCTACAAAATTCTTGAACTTTCAAGACAGTTGATCTGGTTAAATAAGAACTACTTGAGTAGTGGTTTAATTAAACAAATAACTTAAAAACAAGAAAGTAGCTTGATCTTATTCCACCATAAAATGAGGTCTATAGTTAGTGATCGTTGCAATATTAACAAGTGTTAGATCACATCACCTGGTCAAAAAACTAAGGACTACAGCAAACAAGTGTGACTTTGTGGCTGAATCTTGCAAACACTTGCCCTTCAGCAACACTATTAGTGATGGACTAGTAGGATGAATATTGTACGAATCATACTTTGTCACAGAATGGTTTAGATTATCTATCAAACAGTATTTTGATAGACAGCATTACTGACCACAATTTGTGAGACAACTATATTTCGTGCCTCTAAGTGATATAGCTTAGCATTGGTGACGGTAGAGATGAACCATGCTTTTCGCTGGATTTTGGACATGATATTACTCTTTTAACTGCACTTGGATTCTTCCGATCGACTATTTTGTCACTAGTTTCATATTAACGTGACTAAACGAAAGACTATCATCAACACCCAGCCATTGGAGAAAAATTTAACATTTCTAGAAAATTAGCAGTATAAAACTTTGGGGAAATGCGTCGTAAATCTCAAAACTTCCTCAGTCCTGAGGAAGTTCTCGAAATTCCAAGTTACTTAGGGGAAATGCACTGTAGTGCATTTTATCGCATAGCCACTAGTTAGATGTGCCGCATAGCGACAAACTACAATATCAACTTTGTAATATTGTAGATTGGTTACTTAAGCAACATTTACATAGACTTTCAATTACGAGCGAATGCAACCAAATATATTTACCTACATCCACCTACATAAAGGATAGCTCCGCCGTTTTCACAGACTGCGTGTCCATGAAACGTGTGCGACGTTTAAGCGAACAGCAAATAATTCATACAAACATTGTTATTGTAATAGTATTAAAATATGAGCGACTTAATCAATTCGACATAGGAAACTGGTACTAGGCTTTTAGAGAATACTACAAATATATTACTAAAAATAAACATTACATACAATAAAAAGAACCACGACGCATTAAAAAGTTTGGAGAAGAAGTCAAGTGGGCAACGACCCAGTGCCATCGTGGAACAAGTTAAAAGTCATCCGTAACAGCGTTAAAATCATCATGTATATTGTTGTTAATAGGTTCTGTTTTTCCTTGCAAGAGTAAACGCTTTAGAAGAAAAAGCTTTGCATACACTGAGCGTACAGGATGACTCATAAGACTGTTTTGTAAACCAGCTCCCCCCTTCTGTACCTTCCCGAGTGGTCTAGCGGTTAAGGTTCCTGGCCATCACCCGGGCCGCCCCAACCGCCAGACCACTCAGTCTTCAGTAATAAGGATAGGAGGTCTATCGACCTGTATTAATCCTTGCAGTTTGTAATACTGTGGAGGTCCAATCTCGTCTTGAATATATCAACAGAAGGTGCTGATATTACGTGTTCCGGTAGAGAATTCCAATAATTCACTACTCGATGAGAGAAACGAAACTCCAGACGTAAACGATTTGATCTCGGTTTTTGAATTTTTTTTGAGTGTCCTCTCAAACGATCAGTCCTAGACGGAAGTAAAAGATAAGACATGTTAATACCAAGGTCATCGTTCAGTATACGATAAGCCAATATTAGATCACCCCGAATTCGACGGTAAGATAAAGGAAATAGGTTGAGGTGTCTCAATCTGTCTTCATAAGATAGTCCAGATAGACCTTGTACCATCTTAGTACCTCGTCGTTGGACTCGCTCTAGCATATCTGCTTCGTACTTGAAACAAGGACTTGCTGCTTGAATTCCATATTCTAAATGTGGTCTCACATAAATCGGGTATAGTAGTCTAAACATTTCGTCATCTAAATACTGAAAAGACCTACGAATAGACCATAATATTCTATAGCCTTTTGCAGCAGCAGCCTTACAGTGACTAGTGGTTTTGAGATCACTACTTAATATGACTCCCAAATCTTTGTAGTTTCTTACTTTGGGTAGTACGAATCCACGTATTTTATAGTGATACGATTCATCATTGTCATTTAATTGCATCACCACGCTCTTATTTGGATTAACTTCAAGTGACCACCTATCTAACCATGCCACCAATGAGCTAAGATCATTCTGTAATACTATTCTATCTGACATACTGTGTATGGGTCTCCAAATTTTTATGTCATCAGCGAATAGTAGAATGGATGATTTTGCTACAGTTGGTAATTCATTTACATAAAGTAAAAAGAGAAGAGGACCGAGGATGGTACCTTGGGGAACTCCACTTTTCACAGGCACCCACGAGGAAAGAGTCCCATTTACCCTTACCCTTTGTCTCCTGTCATGGAGAAAGTTACTTATCCAATCTACGACTGTATAATGGATTCCGAAGAGTTCCAGTTTTAGTCTAAGACCAGAGTGAGAGACCTTATCGAAAGCCTTACTAAGGTCTATGAAGATCACATCTACAGGAATACTCTGATCTTTTGCAGCAGCCCAATCTTCTCTTGCGATGAGAAGATTTGTCAAGCACGATAGGCCTCTCCGAAAACCATGTTGTTCTCTGGAGAAAAGATTATGCCTTTCAACATAGTTTATAACAGATATCCGAATGATTTTTTCCATCAGTTTTACAACTGCACTCGTTAAGCTAACGGGTCTATAGTTACTAACTAAGTCCCTACTCCCAGCCTTGTACACCGGACTTATTATAGCGTCTTTCCAGTCTCTGGGCAGTTTGGACTGCTTCAGAGACATGTCAAACAGTATCGCCAATGGTTCAGCAATTACGTCTGATATGGCTTTCATAATCCTAGGATGAATATTATCAGGACCACTAGACTTATCAGGTTTGATATGCTGAAGTAGCCTTAAAACAGTACCTTTCTCAATGACCACAGGATCCATCAGCGAGCCGTTACGGTCATAATGAATCGTTGGTCGTTCCTCATTAGTGATAGAAAACACTTTACTGAAATATTTCGATAAAGCTTCAGCTTTTTCTGTATCATTCTCTGCCAAGATTAACGGATTTTCTTGTATCAAAAGTGATGGAATTCCATCACTTCTCTGAGTTCGTCTTTTTATATACGAGAATAACCGTTTCGAACTATATTTAGAATCCCTAACCAATTGCTTTTCGTATGATCGTCTAGTCTTACTTATTAAAGCTTTACAGGCATTCCTAGTCTTACAATAACTGGATCGGTATTGTTCTAAGCCCGTAGAGATGAACATATTCCAGTGCTTCTTCCTTCTTCTAAGAAGTTTCTTAACTGGTTTGGTTATCCATGGTGGACTATTATTCGGTCTTCGCGGTATCAGGTATGGTATGAACGAGGACGTAACTAAACTAAACTTACCTTTGAATACAGACCATGCTTCTTCAACTGATAAGCTAGTATCTACAAACCAATCTGTCTTAGCAGCGCATTCCTGAATGGCTGATATGTTAGCTTTCCATATATTTGGGCGGGGTGTGACCTGATCGTATAACATGTCCCTAGTTCTAAACGAGAAGGACAAAACAGCGTGATCACTGTTCGCTAACGGTGGGAGAACATTTAGGTCGACAATATCTTCAGTATCATGAGTGATTACCAAGTCCAACAGAGAAGAACCTTGGTTAGCACCAAAACGTGTAGGTTTGGATACATGCTGCACTAATGCATGCTCCATTATTGTTATCAGGAACCTATTTTCAAAGGAGTTTATAGATCCTTCTGTGGTCATTTCAGCCCAACTAATGTTAGGTGCATTAAAGTCTCCTATTATCAAGCACCTGGTATTGGTACTCCAAAGATGAATGTGCTCTAGAATAAAGTCATCGGCTAAACAGATTGGGCTGCGATAGATGACACCGAGCATAAACGTACTACATCCGATATCCAATTTACAGCTAATAACTTCACAAGTACCGCTGTCATGGGATTCGCTAACAAAGGAGCGTATATTTATACTATTGGATATATATAACAGGACACCACCTCCTTTTCTACAACTATGTCTATCACTCCTTAGGTAATGGTATCCCGATAGTTCTGGAGTAATGTCGAGGTTATGGACTAACCAAGTTTCTGTCACTGCTACGATGAGTGGCCTTAATCTGTCCACTAATGCTCCTAGCTCATAGAACTTATTTCTTAGACTACGAGCATTGGCATATAAGACTCCTAGGTAGAACGGCCTATCCATACAGGCCTTGGTAGCATTCGCTTCCAAGACTTGACTATCCGAAAACCCACTAACCGGAGATTTTTCTCACCATTTTGTTGGCGGATTTCTAGTTCAGCTAGTGCTTTCTTTCTTTTTATTCTGTCTTCGAGAGACATATCAGGTCTAACTCGGATATCAGAATTGTCGTGACAACGAGCATTACTTAACAGGAGGTCCCGTTGCGTCTCTGATCCTAGGATTACCTTAAGGAGTCTACATGGACGAGGTTCAGCATTGTTTTCGGTCCTCTTGCCTATTCTTACCAGCTTTTTGACCTGGACTCCTTTAGAGTTATCCGGTAAGATACTACGAATATAATCTCCCAACTTCTCTAAATCATGCGCATGTCTAATTTTGGGGTCAGGGTCGTTTGACTCCAGTAATTTGCTAACAATAATATTCGATGATATCAGATTCTTTTTTTCAGTCACACCTGGGTGGTTTGCCCTCTTTCTATCAGATTTCGGTAGTACGTTTTGTGACTCACAATGGGAGTTCACCAATGACTTGCTAACTACCTGCGCATTGCCCACAGCCTTTTTCTTTTCACTTCGTTTATTCCGTACTGTAGTCCATTTTTCATCCTTCAGTACACCGGGACTATTTGGAACAGTGACGGTCTTATTCAGATCTTCAGTGTCCACTAGAGGCACCTGGTTACTGATGTTAGTTTCAGGTGGTGCTTCTTCCCTCGGTAATATTAAAGGAGATTTCACTTTCCCGTCAATCAAATTGGGGTGTTTGAGGCGTCTTGTAACAGCAGGTACTACTACACTGACACATTCGTCACTGTCAGTGCTCATGTTATCAGTGCATGCCCTATCGTTTTTCTTACAAGCCAAAGCCAGTAGGCTCATAGCCTCTTGTATTAGTAACGTCTTATTTGCACAACAAAACATGCAAAGCCAGTGTGAGTTAGGCTTTGAACATCTTTTGTACGCAGTGGGACTTAAACGAGTGCACATCTTATGGAACCAGCTTTTGCATTCATCACACTGCATTCCTTCGTCCACAGGGAACAAACAACGTGGTTGTCCACATTTGTGAGTACTACCAACCATTTTAGTCAGATAAAGGTGTATAACACAATATGAACACTAGTGTCAGTCAATGAGGAAGAGGGTTTCACAAGACAAATCTTAGCAAGATTTAGAACCTTAACTAAAAACACTTTGATATAGACCAAGAATGCTTTTGATGCAACAATTACACAAAAGCAAGGATAATCACAACAAGTACAAAATCACTACCCTTTTTGGACACGCGCACAGTACTGACAACAAACTACTTTGGAAACAAAAACGATACTCTAATCGAATACTTTAACTGAAATAAACTCAATTAAAGTGTAAACAGTAGTTTTGATACGTATAAACGATCAAAACAACAGAATTTACTCAGCGAGGAAAAATACCACTCTCCTTTTTGAATAGCGCGGGCCATCACCCGGGCCGCCCCAACCGCCAGACCACTCGGGAATTCCCTTAAGGTACAGAAGGGGGGAGCTGGTTTACAAAACAGTCTTATGAGTCATCCTGTAGGCTCAGTGTATGCAAAGCTTTCTCTTTTTCTTCTAAAGCGTTTACTCTTGGTCGCCCTGCAATAGAAGGAAAAACAGAACCTATTAACAACAATATACATGATGATTTTAACGCTGTTACACACCTGTAACACGTGTTTTCAGCAGTCACCAAGGAGCGAAGAGAATCTTAAATTACAACACACAAGGTTAATTCAACGCCCCACACCAACACAGAACAGGAGGCTGTTGTCACGGCACTTTTATTTTTTTTTAATTGAAATTCGCGGGGGATTCACAGGAATAGGTAGGGGTAGTGTACCAATGTCTATGAGTCATCTTGTAGGTTTAGGGCATTCAAGGTTTGTTCCTCGGCTTGCAGAGCGTTTGTGTTTGATCGCCCTGAAATAGAAAGAAAACAGAACAAGTTAGCAACACCATACATAGTAATTTCGACTCCGTTACACACCTCTCGTTTAAAATTACCTCAGGTGTGTTTACACGACCTTGATAGACGGACTTACGCATTTAATAGTTTCATTCTGTTCGGATTCCAGCATGGTTGTTTTTTTCAGTATATCACGTCATACAAAATTATTGTCCGGACATGATAAGTGAATTCTTTCAGTGGAACACAAACTGCTAGTGAATATTGGCCTTCAGGACATATAATAATGTTATCTAACGACACAATTGCGTGATGAAGATTGGTAATTCAGGCTAATGATTCTACTGTAGTTTCGTTCTTTATGCTGGATGTTTTATTCGAAGAGCCCTAGATGCATTTCTCTGTACTGACGACTTCCGAAAGTTCACGAAAAAGCCATCCAGATGAGGATAAAACTCCACCAAAGGCGGTTTTATATCTCTCGTCCATCTGAAAAATCTTTCTTTTTACCACGGTTAGGCGTTTTATGGATTTGGTAACTTGGTGTACAGCAGATTTGAACTTGTCCCAGCAACTCAGTGTTTGTATAGCCTAATAACACTATTCGCTTTTGTCGTTTTGTGTATTTTAATATCACGATCATTCTTATTTGCCTTGGATGTAGCTATGTAATTGTGCCTTGATTTTAAGTAAGGATATATGAAGCCACTTGAGCATAACAGAGGGATGATTGTGGTACGCCAGCAGTTATCATTCCACCAGGGAAGCGTGATGCGATTTCAAGGATACTTGGAAGAATGTGAGCTTTGAGTGGTCCACTATGAATCAAGAAACTAACCTAAAGTGTTGAGAAAAATCTCCGGAACTTGCCTGTAGAATTTAATTCCGATTACGTATTATCAGGAGTGTAGTACTGTCATTGATAATTTTCTTAATGCTTTCATTATGGGGTTAGGTAACAAGAAGTCTAATGTCCCAAATTAGCTCTTTTGCTTTGTCAGGATGACGATTGTATCACACAAAAATCCTGCGTTATAATCAAACAGGAATCAAGAGTTACAGGCTAAATGAGATTAAAACAGAAGGGAAAGCTGATCAGACTACTTTGAAAACCCTGGAATGATTTGTATTAATGCATCCTACGGCATAGCTATTGAGATATTGAACAAGCGACTGTTACATGTGACATCAAAACTGGTCTTTGATATCTCATCTGTTTGAAACTTGGTAAGTCGAATTGTTTGGTAGGACTGATTTTTACTGTTTAATACAGACGGTCTCTGGGCGACTGGTACATTTATTCGGTTTACCTTTGTCCCAAACTCAGTTCTCAAAAGCTTGAGGGGCCTTGTCGTTAATCAAACTTTTGCCGACCTGTCAGTATCAGTATTGATATAAAGTGTCAAGAGGAATAATTCGAAGCCAGCTACCTGTTCACTTGGAACTACGTGAATACTGTAGGAGATGCCCTGATTAACCGAACTACTCATTGAGAAAAAGGATTGCGATGAATCCTGAAAGAGTGACCTGCATATCGATGTAATAGATATGGATTTAAATGAAGCACTCAGTAAATTTCCATCAATAAGACTAATGCAGAAGCTTGGTGATTTTTGAGTATATAATGAGTATGAATAAACGGTCAACTGTTTAGATAGTGCGTTAAAATGATCAACATGAAGGTACTGTCTTCCGGCCACATGATTTATACCTTCTTGTCAAAATATTACTGGGATTGCATAAACCATCGGTATACTTGTCTGCAGACAATGAACATATTTGGAGAATAATAATTTATGGTATTAACAAGCTTGAGGTCAGAAACGGTTTAGATTAACTGAATATATGGTTTAAAGTTCGGACTTGAAGGATTAGTCATTGGAATATCTCTTCTATAAGTCCATTGGCAAGAAGAACCAAATACGCATATTAGCCATTATGTAAAAAATCTAAATTTTGGATTGTAGCAACATTTAAAACTTCACTTTCATAAGTGACTACTACAAACCTCCATATAACCTAACGGAGATACTTCACTTTCTATGCCCTGGATAGGTGAGATCCCACTTGGAATCTCAAATTCATGAGTCCATTCTATATTTAGTTTCCAAAATTCAGGGCACCCACAATTGATCTGAACGATAGAAATATTCAGTGTTCACTTAAGCTTAGATATATAAAATCGATAATGCACAATATATTTCATATAGTAACGAAAGAAATCTTAATGAACAATGCAGGCGAGTGGTGCTAAATTTGTAAGTATTTACACAAATTGAACAAAATATTCTTGAACGCTGCTTTCTTTGGTAATTACAGTTACCGCTAGAATGGAAACTCGTAGGATCAACTATAGATCAGTAAAGTTTTAAAACATTAAAACCATACTGTGACAACGTCAAAATGAGTAGAGAAGTTCTCATGAAAGGACGAGAAAAATGTCACTAGTTAAGTAGTTTCAAGGCAAGTGTTAACTGTTCATAGCAATAAAGTTTTATAAGAAATAACAAATAATGTTTTCGCTCTTCTAGGATAAGTTAAGGCATTCATATTAAACAAGAACATGATTATTAAATGTAATAGACTCAAAATATCAAAACCATAAGTAGAAGAAAGGCAAAGCAGCAACCGAAACCCTAATAAAGTCATAGAACGGATTACAATGTAAAGTTTGTAAGCAGTTTAATGATGCTGATTATGAGCAAGCCAAAAAAATATCAAACTGTCGAGTGTGTCCAATGAACATTGGTGTCAATATGTCCATTCATTATACTTGGAGATAGTTTGTAAACCTCAGTCGATAAGACTCATTATGGGCTCTTGTCTTTCACATTTGGTGATTACCATATAGGGCCAACGATGTGTCACTGAGCCCTAGTCATATCATCCTGTATGCAGGTCACACAATGTCGAACAGCTTACCTATACTCGCCACAGTCAAGAGCACCTTTGAGCAGTAACAAATCGCACGCCATGTTCTGGCCTAAGCAGCACTGATTGTAGTCTTTCTCTCCAATCTATTGAAATTGGTACATTTCTTATGTAACGTCATGTTAGTTTTATACGATCATCAAAGTAGTCATAGTATTATGAGAGAGTAATCCACGCTGGATATTAACTGGGAGAGGTAAGTTTGTAGAATTATGGTCTCATATGATATCAGTACTGCTCTAATAATAGACCTAATCCTAAAATTGTAGATTTGTCATGATATAACCGCCTAATCTATAAGATCTTTCGTGGAAGTCATATCATCGTCTACACCAACTCACTGCATCGTAATAATTATCAATATATGATGGAGAACAAGCTTAGGCCGGAGATAGAACAATATATTTAATATGAACAAAAGATATATGGTAACATTTAGTAGGGACCACGCCTGCATGGCCGAGTCATGCCATCCGATCAACTCCAATTTATTCAATTCATTGTTCTCGTCTTTTTCATCGTCGGGTTTTTCTCCGCGTTAAATGTTGAATATTTATTTCCCATATTGTCTCGTGTTAGAACCCGATGTCACTACATATTCGCTGCAAGCTAGGAGGTCATACTATTCTCGCTCAACTCGAAAATACTACAGTCATCGGACGGACCACTTACATTGTTAATTTACAACTCAAAGAATAAGTTGATCACAATAATTGTTATCAACATTATCTGCTTAGACATAATCTGTTCGTACGGACGTATATGCAGAAAGGATTAACGCAGGTCAGTTGATGTAGAGCGTTTACGGCTGCAATTAAACGCAACTCAATTTCGTACATGTGCCCTTCAGCTTAGCAACCAATCAGAATGAGGGGAGATTTATTATATCCGCCATCTTTTTAAGCAATGGCGGCCGGCTTTCTTCGTTCTGTGCTTCTTTCAGCTATTTCTTTTGTGTAGCTATGTAATTTAATGTTTTGATGTGCTAATATGCCGCAGTTACTGTAATGTTCTATATGTTATTGTGAAATTTATCTGGAATCAGCAAATTTTCTGGGTTTTTACTGTTTCTGTTCAAGCCAATGTATTTCTTCAGGCAATCTGGCTAGTCTTGTTATAAAATGTTAATGCGTTTTGTTTTGAGTTTTTTTGCAGATATCAGGAGCCAAGTTTAGTTTTGTCAGCTTAAATAAGTGTTGCGACTGTATGGAACTCGAAATGTCAGCATAATCGTTCCTAATTAGGAACGATCTTTTGAAACGACGATGAATTGGCAATTACAATGGAAATGCAAAACGATTGATGCTCAAGTTTCCGCTATAATGTTGTACAATAATGCGCTTTTCCTTTCAAATAAGACTTTAAATATATACCGCTTTTCCCATGGATTGCAGTTTTACTGTGGTTTGTTGTGGAAATAAAGGCGAATGTATGAAACCTTTGGGGTTATGCCAATGGTGTTTTAAAAGCTGGATCAAAAACAGACAATTCTGTGTTCATTTATGCAAAAAGTAGGCCATTCCGCGTATATTTAGGCGAAAAGTAGACAATTCGGCGACAAGGCGACAAAAAGGGAGAAATCCGCATCATTTTCCCCGGACTGGCGAAAAAGGCGACATTTTGGCGCGTTCTGCCATAATTTACCAAAACATTTTTCCATTTATTGGTTGATTGGGAACTGGCAAGGAAGCTCGTTTTTCTTATGTCATAAAATCCTAATCCGTTATATTTTGAGCATTGTTTTTTTAGATATGAAGAATGGAAGTTAGTTTTCTTTGGCTAAAATAATTGTTGCTGCCGCATGTGACCGTAACTGGCCGCATATTCGTTCCTAGCTGTTATTTATTGTTATCAGGCAGAATGAAAGATTTGTTATTTTCTTCAGTATTATGGATCACGCTACTCCATCAACCAGTCAAACTAATACCGAGTGTCCAGTGGCTGTGGATACCAGTGATGTCTTCTAAATGATTATGAGACCCAGGCACCTGTCAAGCTAGGATTAAGTCAGAGAAGCTATCGATCTGTTGCAAAAGGTTTGTTACTGATAATACACCATCTAGAAAGTAATAGATGACTTGGACTCATTATGTTGTACGTGAAAGCAGGCTGAACAAAGTTAGCCTGAAATTCGCTATGAGTATGTAGTGTATGTATGTTCTTTTGGCCATAAAAAGAAGCCGGAAGGCTATGGTCAGAGAGTAAAAGGGTAAGTTATTATTATTATTGTTTTCATTTTTCATAGATCAAAGTTTGGTGGTTGCAAGGCCATGTTCCATTTACGGTATTCTGTGGACCGGTTCGTCATATCGAACAGACTTTATCGCACTCTACTCAGTAAAATCCACACACTCAGTACACTTTTCGGACAGACGAC